AAATAATTGGAAGCAGGTCAGTAACCCGATGCTTCAATATGTGCGTTGTTTTCTGGTCACACAAATTTGATGGTGTTGCTGCATGGTGGCAAAATGCAAGTTAGCTGACAATGAATGTTGCATGAAAAGACATCATATTGGAGGGGGCCCTGGGCAACCTGGTCTAGTATTAAATGTGGAGGTTGGTGGCCCTGAATGTAGCAGGGGGGCTGGAGATTCATGATCCTTGAGGTCCCTTCCAACCCTGGCCATTCTGTGATATCCAGGCCTGAGGTATGGGAAAGACCTCTGTACTCCAGAATTAGGAGCGCTTGTCAAGCAACTAATGGGTTTTGTTTTTCCCCAGAGATCTTCCAAATGTTCAACAGGTGAATGTTCTTTAAAATTTCAGACGTTTTTTTCACTCCTTAGTTACTCTGTGTAGTATTCTCTCCTGCAGTAGTGATGCTCACATTCCTCAGATGAATACAAATTCATTGTGTCTCCTGTTGGCTGCTTCAGGCCCTTTCTGAGTTAGGGAATGTGTGCTTTCTCTGCTCCAAGTCAACACGTATATGAAAGTTATTCTATCAGCTGAGCATTTCTGAAGAATGGTGACCCTCCAAGAGCAGGACTTCTGGCTATGCTGGGTTATTTACTTACAACCCAAATGTGTCGAGCAAAAGCAGCTTCTGTGCCTTTTCTCATCTTTAGTTTGATCAGAGTAGCTTCCATTCAGGAGCGATGTGGAGAAACCAGGATGGGACTGGGTCACTGTCCTTGTGGTAGCAGATGTTGGACCAGGTCAAGTGGTGGTCTTCCATGCATCAGTAGTTTGCAAATCTCATTTGAAGAGAGGTGAGCAAGCTTTATGCTTGCACACTGTTGTCCACACTTGGCTGCAGGCATCCTGATTTTGCTCCCTGTGTCCCAAGCTGAAAGTTGAGGTCTGCTGTCAGTGCAGTCACACTGATGTGACCTTTAGATGAACCATCTGTGGTGCTGACTGGGAGTCCTCAATTCCACTGCTAGCTCTGCAAACTGGTGTAACTTGGGCAGGTCTCAAGTCTTCTGAGGCTTGGTTCCCTAGCTACAGAGCAGAGGATTCAGTTGCTTTTCCTCAGAGTGGCAGAGTTTTATATAGTATAAATACTTGCAGTTAAGTGTTTTGACTGTATGAGTGTTTCAGATGAGAAACTATAAATATGTGTCAGGACTATGATCTGAATTCAAACTGGTGAACTAGAAAAAGTGTTGACAGCCTTAAACCAACTGCCCCGTTCTCCCCGTCTGTCTACCTGAAAGATCATTTGTGGAATGTATTTCTATCTTTCTCTGACAAAAAAAAAAAAAAGGCAGAATACCAAGCAAAGGAGCATGACCCATTTCTTTTCAGGCAAGCTTTAAGCCCTGTGTGCAGGGATGTGAGTGAGGCAGTGATACAAAAAGAGCTCATATTAGGACACAGCATTCATCCTGCCACTAAAAAGAGACAAAGGCTGCCACCTTCAGATGAGATGGATATGCTTCCAAGCTAAGGTAGCTTTATCTCCTCCACAGCTTCTCTATCATCTGTAATTATATTTAGACCATACAGTGAATCAGAAAAGCACTGCTTTACTCTGACAAAGTGACCATGAGAAATGCAATACCACTGGCGAGCGAGGAGAGCTTGAAACATAACGAATCATTTCAGAATAGAAAAATATACAAGCAATACACCACTGCAAGTGTCTGCACGCTCTGTTAATGGTGGATCAATAGGTCTGATAGGAACATCACTCATCATAAACTGCATCAGTCACCTTCAGTATTTTTCCACAGGTCTTTCTGTGTGTAATGCCAGGTTTTCGTGCACATCATCCCGTTCAAAGTCATTGGCCATAGCATTGGACTTTCTCAATGGAACATTTTTCTTTAAATACAGCATGAAGCACATTCAAGGCAATATCAAATCATACCACACTGAGCTCTTTATTACTAGAAACTTTTGGACAGAAACATATAATCTAGATTCTCTGAATCAATAGGCAGATGGTAACTACTTTGTTTTTCAGTATTTCTTCAGCTGGTACACTTCAGACTTAACTTGTTTTCACACATCTGAAGAAGAAACACTGATATAACTAAGTTTATCTTTGAGACATTTACAAATATTTGACTTTGTTTTTCCTGTTATCTCTGTTTCATCTTCTGCCTGAAACAAGAAACATTAACATTCTCTTCTGTTAAAGTAAATAACCTTTCACACTATTCAGGCTCTCCTGCACAAGGATGGGGGTACCTTTCACTCCACCACTGAAACACACAGGGTTGTGTAGGTGAAAAGACAGCTCTGACATCTTCCCTCCATACTCTGCATTGCTGCTCATATCACTGAGATACATGATCATCGTGACTTCAGGCTGGTTGGAGATTTTTATTTTTGTTCACTTAAACAATGACTGTTAGCTGCATCCAGCTCTTAATTCAACTTCATGTTTTATTAGCCATCATTTCTGCAAAGATCCTAATTCCCCTTTAAAACATTTTAATTAAAACAATTAAAAGCCGTTTCTGAGTGCTGTGCTTCATGAGCAGATTTTGCAGGAACTTCAAAGAGACGCAGATGTTTACGGAATTTGGTGTGGTGATATTTGAGGCTGCCCACTGGCAAAGAAAGGATTCATAAACATCTTTAAGAAACTTTGCTGTGGAAATGACAACACTTCCTTCTTATATTTTAGCAAGTCTAATATTTCCCAGTCTTAACAGGCGTATTTCATAGACACAGATGTAAGTGTTGCTGTCTGCTCACATTCTGAGCCACGTCAGATACATTGCTGTGGGTTAAATGCTGCTCAGTGGTGGTACCTTGGAATGTGGCAAGAGGCCATGGGGGCTAGTTTGTTGTGTGCAAGTAGGGTTTCAGATCATCACTAGATTGGGAATAAGGAACCTTAGGATCAATTTTTGCTGTTTCCTATAGCCTGCCAAAGGGATTTTGAATGACAATTTAGCTATGTGTGCCTCTGATACCACTAGTAAAGGGATGACGACGACTCCTTATGTTTTAATCCCCTCTGATATTTGTAGCAAGGTCTATCTGTTAGTGTTTCCTTGCTTTAGAGAGTCCTGTTTTTGGCTGTTTTTTTTTTTGTTTTTTGTTGTTTTTTTTTTTAAGTGCTGCTTTAATAAAAATGGAGAATGCTAAGGATTTATTTGGGAAAAGTTCCCTCTTATTTCTGCTAGTTAAACTTGGAGTTGGTGTGAAGAGTTCATTTTGCGAACGCCTCTGTCTGTGGGTGATGAGGCATGCAGTAGTCCCTGCCAAACTAAGAGGATGGGACTAGGGACATATGTTCATGGTAGACCTCTTCTAGAACAGCCTAAGGCCCAGGGATCTTCTGTGGTTTAGGCAGATGTCTGTGTCCAGACATGCACAGCCTGTCCAGCTGGGTCACCAGTGGGTCTGCTTGTGAGGCTCGTGCTCCTATTCAGTGTTTCTGTTCAAAGAAAAGAAAAAATGTTCTCATGGACCTTTCCATTCTGATTTGTTTTTAAAAGGGAAATAATAGAACTACTTGGAAGAAGCGTCTCTCTTTCTGCTGTGAGAATCAGGCTAAGACCAGCATGGGAAGCCTTCATGGAGTTTTGCGTGACATGTCGTGTAGTTGCTTTAATGTGCAGTGTAATTACAGTGACAAATTTCTGCTTCTTGGAACATCAGGGGCTGAAGTGGTTGCCCTGAAGGAGAAAGAAAGTTAGTGGGAGAATTTTGACCAACTCTGGGTTGGAAAGTGCAGCACTTTCTTTGCATTGGATTAAAAGTGATTAGTGTGGCCAAAGGGGTCCTGTGAGAGACAGGTAAGCAGGGTGAAAGGAAATTGGAAATATTAAAAAAATGAACCTGGACTGGATAAAACGAGCTCTACACTTTTAAATTCCTCTTTGATTTGGTAGCATCAGGTGTGCTGAAGGGTGGGCTGTTCAGACTTATGCGTGACAGCAGGATGCCTTCCACATGAATAACCCCCTGAAACTAACTGAACTGCTCACAGAAGTGCCTGGCAGCGTGATCTAGGCTTGAGCGTTTGAACCCTCAGATTTGATCTTTCCTCAGTAACACAAGGGCCAGGCTGAACAGTGAACAGCAATAGCTGAGCTAGAAATGTGAACTCAGACCATTCGCTGCTAGGAGGCAAACGGCTCTGCCATGTCCCTGCTGAAGAGCATCTCATCTCAGCCCAACTGCAAATTGGCTCATAAGAGAAGAAACCATATGCAAAAGCCCTCTTCCATGTTAGTCTAGAAAGAAAGAGCTTTGTTGTTGTTTCAAAGAATTAGTGAGCCAACAACGCAAAGCTTTGGAGTTGGTTATTGGGACTTTACTGTAGTCTCTACGAGCTATACAAAGTCTGAAGACATTGTACATACGGTACATCTTTAATAAGAAGGGAGCTCACAGTCTACCAAACTCTGCCAAATAAACTTTTAATACATACTGTACTTCACTCAGCAGTTGTCCATTTCTTCTCCATGGAATATCTAACAGCTCTAAAAATATTTTCTTGGAAGAGGATAGAATGATCATTGTTATATATCAATTGAGTATCAAGTATGTTTATGAAGCAAAGCCAGCATGCTAGTATTGCACAAGGGGAAAAGCCTCCAGAACACAAAGTGAAACAATGAAATGCCCTCAAAATTCTGCCGAAGGGAACGGGAAGCTCTGGATGCCATATCGGTAGGATCCGTGTAACTCTTAGGCGTCCTTGTACTGCAGCAGGTTTGCTTTGCCTCTTCACTGCCACATTTCTCTCTGAAACAGGTAGGGATCTTCCAGACCATTACAATAAAGAAAAAAAATTACAGCAGCTGCAGCAAAGTGTGGTACTATTTAATTTCTTGAAGAGCGAGGCTTTTATTTCAAAATATCATATATTAATATATATATATTTCTATATATATACTTTAAACGGTATAAAGTAAATTGTAGATCCAAACTTATAGTGTTGTTTGTACTTTGTAATCTCAGAAACTTTAGCAAAGGAACCATTTTTCTTCATTTTTCTTTTCAGCTGTCAAAAACCAGGGGCATTATTTCCGCAGAACGCTCTCTTTCACACAGTAAAGCCACTGTTGTCATCTGGTAAACAGTCAGAGTGCAAATAAGAAATCCATTTGGCTTGTAAATGCTGAGATGGTTTTCAACTTTCGATACTTTGTCCTCATAAATCAGCTGGGCTTTCACTGCCTCCATGCAGGTTCTGTTAGGTCCTCGGGTGGATCTGCAGGGTGAAAGTGTGAGAGTCAGTTACGTTAAAAATGTTAAGGGAGGGAAGAAGGAAAGAGCTAAGCTTTTTGGTGCGTTGCCCTGCTCACTGTACATCTGAGCTCAAATCTCAGTTTTGTGTTTTGTGCTTTGGGCATGAATCCAAAAGCTGTCTACCTTCTCCTAGCTCCTACAAGGAAGGGTGTGTGGATGGGTCCACGAGCTCACTTGCAGAGGCTGGGTATGAGAGAGGACCCATAACTCAGTCTGAGTTCATCTGCTCACCTCAGGTGAGATAACTCCACCTGCATAGTACCACAGTCCATGGAATCATCTCTCTCCATGACAAACACTGCCACTCTAGATGAATGGCAGAAGAGAGTCCAATACTTTGCTAGGTCATCAAGGAAAAGCCAGGTGACTTGAATATGAGCTGGACTGGGCATTAAATTAGGGCTAAAAGTTGTCAGCTATGCACCAGCTGATATCATCAAATGCCACAGTCATTCTTATAGCAAGAGATATTTGCTATTTTGTGCTCTACTGCTTTGAACTGGCTTCTAATTACATAGACAGTTATTGCAAAAATAGAGTGGTTTCTTCTTTTTTTTTCTTTAAAGAAAAATGCAGTGTGAAAATCATCTGATATTAACCTAGTTGGACAACTTAGGAAAAAAAGAAAAGAGCAAAACAAAAACGATTTGTTTCATTTCCCATTTATTTTCCTTCCCTGTTGCCTTACTCCGCTCTCCTGGTTTGTTGCTGACAAATGGGATTATCTTTCCCAGGGATGCACGCATCCTTGCCTTGTTGTGCCCTGCTAAATGGATGTGCATGGTTGGTGAAGGAGGAGGGAGTGCCAAGGGGCCACCAGCACTTCAGGTGCCATTTGCTGCAGCATGAGATGAGCCATGACTGCTGTGAAACATGCTGTTCAGGTCACTGTAAAGATGCATTTCTCCAATGGCAAAACGTGTGCTGTAAACCAGTGGGCTGCAATGGAGGGTGCAGGCTGTGAAACTAGAGAGCTGCTCCAAGCGGAGCTGCTGTGCCAGTCCCCAAGTGCTGAAGGCTTTAATTTCCATTCTCCACGGTATCAGCAGAAAAACAGCTTGTTGAAGTACTCAGAGGGCTGCTATGTGAATGCCAGGTGCTATTAGTGCAGATTACTGAAGAGCGTTTGGCAGTGCACGCAGGATGGGCACAAAGCCCTGGGAGGAGAACCCTTAGGGGCCATGCAAAGCGGTGCCCTGAAGGTCAGGTGTAGACAGCAGCCTGAGGTTGGGAGCTGTGGTTTTGTGTTTATCAACAAGTCTGGTTCTCAGTGGTGTTTATTGTCTGCTTGGTGCACCATCTCCCAACGTCAAGGCTGAGACCACGTGTTCCTCTCCTCCCTGTCCCGACTGCTCTCCTGAAATGTCACAGTGTAATTTCCAACCAGGTCCTGGTACCACTCCAAAAATAACCCACCACATTTTCAAAGAAAGCTTTGAAATTTACATTCTTAAAAAAAATAATAAAATAAAAAAATAAAAATAGGAGTGAATAGGGACTCAAAAAGGGGTTGAAACTAGTCCAAACATTGAATTACAAAATGATTTCTTTCCAGTGTTTGTCACCTGCTCTAACTAGCAATAGAAAACAGATCAATTTACAGAGGCTGTGAGCTCTATATCTTTGACTTTAACAACTTAATTAGTGAGCTGTACTAAAGGACTAAGCCCAGGAATAAATAAATGAAAAAGAAGGGGTGGAGGCCACGCTGGCAAAGTCTTCACTGGATTTGCTGTCCACCTTCTGACACTAATTACTTATTAATCACTCCTGAGAACCAAGTATGAATAATACACTGTAAAACTGCACACACTATATATATACATACAAACATATACATGCTTATATGTGATACACTGCAGGCCTCAAAGACAACATAAATAGGTTTTTTTAATACTTTGAGTCATAAACCTGAATGTTTCCCTTGTCAGGACAGAAGCAGCCTAACATAAACGTATTTTGTGTAAGGAAAAGCCTTCATTAAAATAGTTTACAGCCTGTGGTGACTTGCTCTAGCTTTTCTGGCTAATCACTACAGATATATCTAGGATGTTGAGTGATTTGTGTTGCTGCTTCTGCTTTCTTGGCTTCCTTAACTACATAAATTAGACACACATGGCCCAATCTTGCAGCCCAGATTGGGGTCAATACAGATTATAGTGTAATCTCTTTCTCTGATGCCATCTGAAATGACAAAACAAAGGAAAAATAATGCCTGTTTCAGGATCTGATTGCTTCCATTAGTTTATATTTATGTTGCTAGACTTGACACAGAAGTACAGACTCAAGCAAAGTTTCAGGGATTATAAAGTAGGGTTTTTGCTTGGAAACTGCAAGAGACAGTTGCTAAACTCATCATGTCATGTTGCCTTTGTCAGTTGGGCTCTGTAATGATACTTTAAAGCAACAAAGCAAAATTCTACTGGAAGCAGTACCATAAGGTACTCCCCTCACAAGCTAATTAAAATAACTCCTGTGGGTAAATGACAGAAATATTTCTTCAGCTATGAGCACTCACTCTCTAAGTATTTAATTTAAATGAAATACAATAATGCATACTGAATAGATTGGACCATACATCTGCATATTAATGAAGCTGCTAAATTTCTAGCAATCACCTCTAGATGCAGACTTGCCTAAAATGAGTTTATCTGATGATGGTTGGGAGAGTTAAGGGTAGGATAAGTTCACAGAACCTAAATTACGTAACTTGCAGAGAGACTGCAGAGCTACTATATTATTGTAATTTCAATAGAAAAGTACAATGTAGTTCTTCATACTGTTCATTACTTCTTTAATATCCCTTTTTTCCATTTTAAATTCCTAATTTTGCAAGAAAGCTGTTGTCTCACTGAAAAGGTCATATAGTGGTTTGTTAGGTTTTTTTGTTTGTTGTAAGAATATAAAGAAGCAGCATAACTTTAAGTGGTGGTGAAAATAGCCATGCCAGGAGAAGATGAGGCTGCTATACAAATTGTTCTTCCTGGGATAAATCACATGGAGGGAAAGAAAAGAATTCAGGAGCCATGCTGCTCAGCTGGAGTAAGATCTCCTTCAGTAAAAGGCATGGAAGATATTAAAAATGACCAGAGTTGGGATCACAAGAAAAGGGAGAAGCCAGAAAATGATGACTGTGAACTTTCTGTGAGTTAGAATCCAGGTATGAGCATGCTGTGCTTTTTAATAAAAAGGAAAAAAAATATTGAGTATTTTGCTTCTTCCACTTAACAGGTTTCAGAAGGTATTTTTCACTTCACTGAAAATCAAGATGTGTTCATAAAAAAAAATGTTTTGAGTTGACAACTGCATAAAAAAAATTCAATTGTGGTATGAAAACAATCTGATTAAAATTGTTGAATACAGCTATAGATGGCAGCTTTATGAAAATATTTATGGAATATTTGGTCAATGTAAAAAAATATACTTTTGAAAGAGACTTTTTTTTTTTGGAGGTAATTTCATAATGGGAGAAGCTCAGCCAGTTGACATTCTACTTTCTCGATCTGCATCTGTATCTCACTAAGCTGTAGCCAGAAGCACTGGCTGGCTTGGGAGGTGTGCAGCAAACTTTGGGATATTTACAGCAGACATGATGCTGGAAATGATGTGGGTGTGCTACAGTTGTTGACTCTCGTCCCTATTAAAAACTCACAGCTATGGACAGAAAGACAACTTACTCTGGTGGTCTTGATTTTATTGCCAGTCGCACACATCCATCCAGAATTATCAGGCAACGTCTTACATTCCTCTCCTTCTAGGCAGGGCTCCATCTCACACCACCATTTCCCAATCACTATTGAAGCTAAAGGAAGAAAGACAATATCCACTGTTATGTTGTAATGAAAAGAATAGTAAATAATACCTCAAGAAGCCAACGCTGTATTTAAGAGGTGAAACCTTTCATCTCAGGTTTACTTGCAAGGAACTTACATTTGTACTAGTTTTTCATCAAATATTGCCCATCCAAAACATTGCATTTCTTGCCATAGCTTTCTTATACATGAGATCTAGTCTACTATGATGCTGTGATGACAGCAATATTATTTCAGAGCAAAGAACCATCCACCCTAACAGCCCTCCGCTCTGAGTAGCCAGTCTGGTCTTTATGAACACGTAAGAAGAAAGAGTTGAACTAGAAATTCTACAGGTCTTCAGGACTTGTGGTTTGAGGATCTCCAGAATCACTGGTAGGTGATTTGCCTTGAGTACCCACAGCTGGTCTTTTCTTCCCCACACCTGTGCCTAATTGTGTGAACCCAGGCAGCCTTTTAACCTCTGCAATATCCTGTTGCAGGGAGTACTGCGACTCAACTGGAAATAGAAGGTAAGTTAATAGTGAATTGCACAAGTTCTTTTTGTTGAAATGTGATTATGAGTTTTATAGAAACCACATTATCACTAGCAGTTGCCTTTAATTTCCAAGCGTTTAGCATTCTAAGTAATTGTAGAGTTTGAGTCTTGTTGTTTGAACTTAATTGGCATGTATGTTTACAACCTTGAGGGTATCTTAATGGAAGTTTTTTTTTTTTTTTTTGCCTGGGAATTGGTATCTTCCTATAACCTTAGCTGTATCTTAATGACAAATTTTGTCTGGGGATTTTGATAAACTTTAGCTGATCTTGCAAACTGCAGCTAGTTGAGGATTGAGTGGCTCTGTTTGTGGCTTGTTTTCCCTGGCAACAATTAATTTCTTGGTTGTGCTCCTGAAGTCTGACTGTTAAGGCTTCTCCTACACTCAGATAGAGGCTTAACTCTTTTCTACCTCCACTCATTACTTCTTCAAACCTGCATAACTTCTTTGATGCAGTAGTGTGACTCATGTCACACCTTTCAGCTCTGGAAAATGCCCTTTTGTGCATGTACTGATTTAAGTGCATCTCAGAATTTATAATTAAATTATTGATTTATTTCTTATCTAGCAGAGATCTTCTTATGCTTACAGAGTCCAAACGAAATGCTCAAAGACATGTGCTGCTCATTGTATCTATCACCTCAATTCACAGGTACTTAAGTGAGGCTGTAGGAGAGCTTTGTCCACAAGCTGAATAGCTGTCCCAGTAAGAACACATTTTTCACACACACAGTAAACATCTTGATGTGAAAAGCTCCTTTGGTCTTAAAGAAGAGGTCAGCAAGTTGGAACAAATAAGTTAAGCTCTCTGTTTTCTCTCTCCTATTTTTTCCTCACAGCTTGTGCCTTATTTATATCATGTGATATACCATTTCTCTATATGTACTGCACACAAAAGCCTTTACACCTGTGCTTGCAAGGCAGTGTAATTATGCTATTCACACATCGCTTTCTGAAGGGTATCATTAATGCTGCTAACAGTGGAGAAAAGAATCTCTCTTTGCTATGTGTGAAAAGGCACATGGTGGTGAATCTGCACTCTAATAACACATTGTGCAATGGGCAAACTGCAGACCGTGTCCTTCTAAATGCTGCTCTTTACTGCAAGCATCTGAGCAGGGCATTCTCAGAGTGCGTGAGGACAATCTGATGACATGGAATCAAAACTGATGATCATATTTATTTGTTAGTGTTAATGCTTTAGCAATAACTAACCATGGAGAAGGATCCTAAGATGCTAGGTGCTAAAATTCACAACACAAAATGTACTGGCACAGGGAGCCTGTAGTGTAAGACAGTGATGTGATTTAATACAGGCTAAAGGGAGCATAGGAAAGCAATGCTGTTTATTGCAATTAAAATGGTCTTAGCTACTCATTGATGTTGTTCCTCAAGACAGCCCAAGTATTTTGGGTATTGACACCGAAAAAAGTCAAACACAAAGTGAATGCTGAACTGTGATGTCAACCCTTTCATCTAACAACGTGCAGCTTTTAGTGTATGTGTCCATTTTTTGTGATCACAGTGCAGTTGCAGTCAGCAGTAGCCCTCGTTCCTGGTCCCTTATCAATACAGCTGGGCTGAGGAAAAGGTTGTGGTTTTTTTTTTTTTTGTAAAGGGGAAACTAAGGTCATTTAGATGAAGAGCACCTGTTTGTCTCTAACGTTTATGTGGGCACAGTCTTTGGAAGTCTGAAGTACTACAGAGCTCCCTGCTGTCTTGTCCTCAGCCCCATGCTGTGGCAGGGGCATCCAGAGCCCAATGAAAATTATTTCCTTTGAGTCTTGTGTTTATAGATTTCCACTTCTATTAAGAGCTTTTGAATCTCTAGGACCAGCTATCTTTCCTGGGCACTGCTGATCCTTTGAGGTCTGCTCAATTTCAAAGTTTTACACCTGCAGCTCTGTTCAAAGGAGGAGGCAAAAGCTTCAAAATGAAGCACAGTTGGCTGTGTTTGAGCTTAAGTACACTTGTATAGGGAAAGGAATTAAATAAAAAATTAAAAAAATCTCACGCTGAAGACCACAATCCAGGTTCGATCTGTTCAGGTGATGTTGCTTTGACATGTGCTGAGGCAGCTGTGTGAGAGAAGTGTTGAAATTAAGGTGCTTTCCCTTGGGATGGTTTATATTGGAGAGCTCCAGGATAATGAGGAACCTCAGCTCCTCTCTGAGCCTGAGGTGCTAAAACCAGGTGAGAATTACAGGCTCCCCACAGCCACTACTGTGAGTGCTCACACAACTGAGATGCCTGTATGAGCTGAATGAGATGCCTGTAACATTTTGGAGCAGCTTTCACTGTGTTCTCTCTCACTGTCTGGGGAATACATGAAGTGGAGATTTTTTTTTTATTTTCCCATGCAAAGCTGATTTGACTGAGACAGATACCCTCAGCCACAGGGAGTGAAAGGGGATGTGATTTAAAAGAGACTTGACGGCTCCTGCTTCGTTTGTGATATTTTTCCCCAGCTCCTGCTAGCGTAAATAAGGGATTGCTTCTATCTGAGTTCTTTTCAATAAAACGCATCTTTTATGAGAATATTAAACTCCGAGCACATAACTAATGGAGCTGGGGAAAAAAGGAACTTTCTTCAAAAAAATTTTTTTTCCACTTCAATTCACACTGGACTTCTACCACCTTTGTAAAGCTATAGAATTTTTTTTTTTTTTTAGCAAAATATTTAACTTTGGATGGCTTTAATCTGCATGAATTAGCAGACAAAAAAGCACTTGCTTGAAATGTCATTTTCTAATCACGTGTACCATCAGAGGAATAAAACAACAGATAAACGATCTGATAATCAGACTGTGTATAGGGAAAGAGCAAGACCATAGCTTATGTTTGTTGACGTTTACATGACCCTACTGCATTTTGAAATGCTCAGGCTGGATATTAGGAAATACTACTTCTCTGAAAGGGTGGTCAGGCACTGGAATGGGCTGCCCAGGGAGGTGGTGGAATCCCCTTCCCTGGAGGTGTTCAAGGAACGTTTGGATGTTGTGTTGAGGGATATGGTTTAGTGAGAACCATTGGTGATAGGTGGATGGTTGGACTGGATGATCTTATAGGTCTTTTCCAACCTTAGTGATTCTGTGATTTGTTCCCAAACGTAGCACCCAAACTCCTAGATGGCTGTAGGGAACTTAGTTTAGACTGAACTCAATGGGCTTCAGCATGCAGTGATGGCTTTTTGTCTCCTCGTGCACCATCTGGAGCACAAAGGTTGGGTGCATGAAGAGAGCTGGCTGGAGATGTTTTCCCCTTGAATTTCAGAGACAAACTGTTCTGTTACAGTGATGCAGTAGAAACACACTTGCACTCCCTCAAACACCTACATCTACACTGCAATCAAATCAACATGGAGCTATTAGACATTCAACTACCTTCCACTTGATTCAAATGTTATTTAGAATAAAGTGAATGCATTTGATTAAAACTTCCTTACTTCCTGAAACTCCTAAATATGTTTTCACCTTTTCCAGTCTTCAAATTCTTGCATTAAATTGTAGCTACTGAGCCCTTTAAAGCAAAATGCAAATCTCTTCTTGGGGCATGCAACGCTCCTTTAACTTTTTTACATCTGTATTTAGGAAATAGTTTTAACGATGTAACAAAGCATGTATGACAATGAGGATAAATAGGTATATAGCAGTATGACTCTGTATTGTCATATTGTTATATATAACTAAAATTCATCCTTGTGGAAAGCCCTGAAGTACGGAAACAGAGCAAAGTCTCATCATGCATTTTTCAGCAGCTCAGAAGAAGCATGCTATGTATGAAAGCGTTCCAGGATTACTTCTGCATTTGCCATTAGAAAGCCACAGCCACTATCTCTTTTTGCCTGTGATAAAGTATACACATTTGGGTTATTTACAGATAGAATACAAAGGAAGAGAGATATTAGATTGTGCTTCCTCCTGATCATAGGTATCCAAGGAATAATGAGCAGAGATGGCTTGCAGAGCCAGTATGACGCTCATTGGGGATGGGAAGGTTTTTACTGTAAGTGTAAAGCATTCCATTTAATCTAGTTTCTACCAGAGAAGATTGATATAAATAAAATTTAAATAGAGAACACATTTCACAGATGCCAGCAGTGAAAAAGACTTTGTCAGTCTAATGAAAAGATATCAATTTTCTCCACTTTATTCAATAAATTGTGAGTCATTTTCTAAATGGATTAGATTAAAGGAAAGTTCAAACTCCCTGTGAGAGACTCTTGTACTGATGGAGACTTTTGGCAATAGATATAACACTGAGGTAAAATCTTTCAGGCCTTTTTTTTTTGCCTTTCAGAAAAAGAAATCTGATATAAGCAAGAATAGGACTGTTTGTATCTGTACCCTGTGCTCATATGCTTTAGAAAACAAAATCTCAGAGAATTGAATGAGATGTCGTTTCTCCTATTTTATTGGGATGTCATGGGGTGCAGAATGAATTACAGGGAA